TGCAATCTTTTCCAACCAGTCCTAGGGCTCCAACTACAACAGGGATTGTTGATGTTCCCATATGCCACATTTTCGAGATTTCTGGTGTGTACACATTTCCTTTCGGGTCTCGCCCGGAGACCTAAGGTTAGAAATGGCATCATAACTTTTTTCCACTGGCACACACACACACACACACACACACACAAAATGGCATAGATAAAGCCTTTCGTAAGGTGTGGGCTGTACTCGTGAGAACAATTTTTTGCATTTCTTTAAGGTATGGGCTTCCAGGAATTCGTTCAATTAGTCTACTGGAATCTTTTCCAACCAATCCGAGGGCTCCAACTACAACAGGGATTGTTGATGTTCCCATGTACCACATTTTTGAGATTTCGATTTCAAGGTTCTTGTATTTTGGTAGCTTTTTGAAGATCTTCAAATATACATTGCAGTCCGCAGGAGGCACTATTTTGTTTGCGGTCTCTAATAACAACATCTGGGCGGTTAGCTTTGATTTATTATTATTATTATTTATTTATTTATTTATTATGTATTTAAAAAGAGAAAAGATGAGTAGGATGAAGAGACGGAGAGGAAAAGAAATGAGAGACAATTGGAGAGAAGAGAAAGAAGACGAGGGTGCAGAAGAGAAAGGGAGAGAGAAGGAGAAGATGTAAACAGATTTGATGGGGATAAAGAGATGAAGACAGAGAAGAAAAATAGGGGAAAGAATGAGATCCCCTGACCTTTGAACCATAGGTAGATTACTGCTCATGCAATTCTTTAATTTAATCTCGTTACGAAGTCTGTCTTCGTGTGGCATAGTCGAATGTGAAACAGGAAAGGTCATATTGCTCCAGTCTTTCAGGGGATTTCCTTCTTCGAAAATGGACATTCAAAATCTTGGGTTTACCTAGAATGGAACTTCATCAGTTGATGAGAAACCTAACTCACAGATTATTTCGCCTTTTTTTTTGTTGTTGTTGTTGACAGTTTATAATGTACAAACATCTATACATAGAATAGATCATCAGATTGAATGAACTGTGCAAGATGTCACCACTCTGGCCAATTACCATGTCTCAGAAAAAAATATCAAGATGCACAAATGATGATCGTACAAACAAAATATCTATTTCTTTCGATTTAAAATACCAAATTTTATAATAGACTATTTTAAACACCGTCCTATCTCTCTCCTGTCTACCATTTGATCTGGGTTTTCATTTTCACGGGACTTTTCCTCGCTGTAGCCTTGACTCTTTTGATTGCAATCTGGTCCTCTGTTGGCGGAGATTTCTTTTTGCCTTGCACATTGCTGCCGGATGCAATAGGCAACAATAAACTACAGAAGAACTCAAAATTGATCGCTGCATTTAAGTATTGCATTAATATTTAATCTTACCTTTTAAAAGTTCAACGATATTTCTTCTGCCGCCATCTTAATTTAAAGACAATTTGATGGATGTAGGTCCTTAATTTCCGTACAAATTTTTATTCCATGGGTGACTTTCGCTGGATTTCACAATTAACTTCGATTATTCACGAATTTATACCCAAGTTATAAAAATTGATAGCGTAAAAAAAAAAAATTCGTCACAAAAAAATCACGTACAAAAATCGCCGAAAACAATAGCAGTAATGAAAACATGGGAATCTAAAATATTTGTAACATGAGCTATTGAAAGTTAGAGAGTTGTGTCTCTTTAATTGAGAATATGTCACACAGTGACACACTGACATTCGCATTTATTACATAGATAAAAAGGATGCTCAACAGCAGAAAATAAGAACCTGTTAATTAAAACTACTTGTAATTCTTTGCTTGAATTTCTCAAAAGGTGTTGAGAATTCAAAATAATACGAGCAGCGGTTTTGATATACATAAATTATTTTGCCAACCTTTTCTTCTTCAGAACTGTTATTGTCACCTGTGCACTGACCTGGACTGCATCCCAGAAATAATGGCAATAGAATACATGGTGCATTTGTACTTAGAAAACAAATGTCGAAGTCGGAAGACTTACGTCAGAACTGAACCGGGTTGGGAACGAGGCGCAACTAGTAAACAGTATGACACGTTTAAGAACAATCAGGTTAGTCGATCATTCCTTTGTGTCCACGCGGTATTAAAACTAGTTGTAAAATATGTTGTTGTTGTTGTTCTTCTTCTTCTTCTTCTTCTTCTTCAAAGTCAAAATGGACGCGGCATATCAAAATAATACATGCCGCATATGCAATGACAAAGATGAAACAAACGCAAAACAATATTATATAGACATGGCTTGTCTTTTTTTAACAAAATCATTTCACCTCAAGGAAGACAATAAAGCCACTAAGACGCAAGGGGTTTACTGAGTGTGTTATAGTAGAACACACCTATTCTATAGTTAATAGACTCTTCCACCTATAATAAGTAGGAGTGGTAAGAGTAACGTCGGTCAGTCAGTCGACTGGCTGATCGGTTGAATTTTCTGCCTTTGGAGGCGAAGGAGGCTACGCCGAAGGGCGGAGTCTCGTTCGGGGAGGTAAACCAGCCCTGAACCCGTTTATACGGGTTCAAAGGGCATATTTTTGGCCGAGCCCACGGGCTCGGAGATCCCACGGGCTCGAAGATCCCACGTTAAAAAGGCCTTGTGTCACATGACGCCCTCGTGTGTGTGTGTGTGGGGGGGGGTGACTGAATATCGTCGGTGAGTTAGTCGACTGGCTGATCGGTTGAACTCTCTGCCTTCGGGCGGGGACGAACCCGAAGGAGGCTACGCCGAAGGGCGTATTCTCTTTCGGGGAGGTAAACCGACCCTGAACCCCGTTTATACGGGTTCAATGGGCATATTTTTGGCCGAGCCCACAGGCTCGGAGATCCCACGTTAAAAAGGCCTCGTGCCAATATGACGCCCTCTGGGGGGGGGGGACTAAATATCGTCGGTGAGTCAGTCGATGCCGGACGACCGTTAGTCGAATACTAAACTATTAGCGACCACAACTAGATTACTCTGCGTTATACTTATTATATCAAGTTCCTAACGTTTTGTACGTCGAACCTATTTTAGGACTGACTTAGTACAAATACAAGCCTCCACTGTGAAACCACTCTACAACAGAGTGTGAAAGAATAAGAGAAAAAGAAAAAAAAAACATTATTAAGGAGCGAGAACAATAAAAACACAGATATTAGGAAGACAAAAAGTAACGATTGATATTGTATTTAAATTTTTGAAGATCAAACTTGACTGGAAAGCAAGCGGCCGGAAGAGACTTCCACAAGCGAGAAGTGCTAGAAAAAAACTGTTAGCTTAGAATTTACACTTACATCTAGCCATTTCAAATGTAAAATGATGAGACCTAACAGCTAAGTTACGCTTAAATATGTAAAGTTGAGGTGACAAAGAGAAAAACTGCCATGAAAATATTTATAGAAAAGGCATAGAGAAGCTACATGATGGCGACGGGAAAGTGACTGAAACCGAGATGCCAGGTCAGGACCGATAACATTGCAGATTCTTCTTTGGGTGTTATCAAGAATCTCTAAATACACAACAGAAGCATCAGACCAGATGTGGCAGCAATATTCAGTGCACGGAGGAACGGTAGATTTATATAAATGACTAAGATAGTTGCTGGTGGTAATAAATGCATAGACCGATATAGTTAACCAGCAGCAGACCAAGGAATTGATTCAATATGATATTTTCTCTTCATGTCAGCGGAAAAACGTTAGTTCGAAAAGGTGCAACGACTTACTTTCATTTATGTATCTGTGAATTGCCATGATTCATGCGGAAAGACACTGAAGTGCTTTCTCGTTGCTTCTTCCACGTTCTTGAATTCAAAGTAGTCATTCTATTAGACTGGTTGCCACACAAGTCTAGAGAGCCCAATTTGCTTTACTACTTTACCTACAGCTGAGTTACAAATATTGCGAAAAATCAATAAGTGCAAAATAATTATTTCTATATGCTTGAATACTGGGAGGGTGTTGGAAAATTGCATCTCCAACGTTTATATTACGACTGAAAACTAAGTAAGTACTAAAATCAGCTTGAATAATGAGAAGGGTGTTGGAATAGTGTGGATTGTTTATTGTCAGTTGAACTCATGTGAAAGCCACCAGATACAGATGGTATTAAAAGCATAACAGGTATAAATCCGATAGCCTCGGATGATCAGATTGTTGCCAGGTATGAAGCGTTCTTTCGGACGTCTTTTACTACGGCCTTTGTAAGTCTGAATGTAAGTAAAATTGGAAATGCAAACACTTAACAGATTAGATATGTTATTAATCGAGTGGTACTGCAAAAAAAAAAAAAAAAATACGGAATCATCTAATATCTGTCTATATTTCTGATATCGTAATGATTTACATTATTTACATAGTTGGAGCGTTGTCCTCATCTTTATTGCCGTATTCATGACGTTTCAGCCGTTGTACGATCCGGTCTTCTTCGGGTGACTGGAATTTTGAACTGAACCCTTTATTTCGTCCACCGGGGTAGATTGTTCTAGTTCCACGTGCCATGACTCGTCCGGATGTTTCAGTTATCTCCCTTTAACGCAACTCCCCAAGATTTTGCTCACCACTGCATTAGCCAGGAAATGAGGTTGGATCCAGTGACTGGACCCAGAGAGTTGTGAGTTGAATACCTTGCTTATGCAGTGGTGAAAAAAATATATTGGAGAGCTGAGTTAAAGGGAGATAACTGAGACATCGTCAAGAAGCAAGGCCACGAAATAAAGGGTTCAGTTCAAAATCACCTGAAGAAGGCCGGAGCGTACAACAACCGAAACGACGTGAATATGCCAATAAAGATAAGGACATTAGTCCAAACATTGTAAACAGGAATCATGTAAATGATTCTAAATAATCTTTTTAATTAGATTTTCTTAAAACTGTACCGGATTATTTAAACATGTGAAAAAATAGTAATATTGCTGAATTAATTCTTTAATTAACATTATTATTATTAATAATTATAACCATTAGTAAATGATTCAAATATCTCTCTCATAATCAGGGTTTACGGCCATATCACGTTGAAACATCAGTTCCCGTGCGTTCACCGCAGTTAAGCAACGTCAGGCCTGGTCATTATCTAGATGGGTCACCGCTTGGAAATATCATTTGCTCTGGACTTAGATGTTCGGATGGTGTAATAGGTAACGGCTCTGAGTTCCAATTCCAGTTGGGTTCGTTATGTTTATTTACGCGCAGGTACCTTTGGGAAAGGTAAGAAACCACCTCCCCCCCCCCAGCTATGGTTTAATTCGTAAGACTTTTATCTCTAAATCATTTTTATCTCCAAAAAGAAATTATTACAATCTCAAAGATATTTTATTCGATTTTTAATTCCGAGACGTTTTCCATTATACCATCCAAACGTACAACACCTGGTATTCCAAAGCGGTCATCCGTCTAGGTACTGACCAGGCTCGACGTTGCTTAACTTCGGTGATCGTATGAGAACCGATGTTTCAACATATGACCGTAAACCCTGCTTGTGTAGTGAATTTATTCTCGATCGCTATTCGTGGACTTGTACCAGACTAAGTTAAGTCTAGTAAATATATACTGATGAAAGATAATTCATAAGTTTTTTTTTTTTTTCTTGGAAAGGCGTAATTCGTGTAACGAGTGATTGATTATGCAGAACGTAAGGAAAAAAGATGTCAAAACGAACGTGTGGATGATCGTCAGCGCGACCGGCTACACATTAAGGGTCCCATTTTTAACACAAACACGCACCCATGCACTCACCCACCCACATACTCACACATACAATCATCTGCATAAAAAGATTACGAAAAAAATGGAGTCGGGCAGATAGGAAAAGTGAGGGAGAGAATAAAGTTGTCCAGAAAAAAAAAAAAAAGTAAAAAAAGAAGCAAAAAACCGAATGCATCATGCCAGAGATATTTTAAGCATCTGACTTTCACAAACCGTTCGAAAAGCTTTTAAGAAGGGGAAATTGAAAAAATCTATCAAACTGACAACTGGGCGAAATTACTTTTTCGACCAACGCAAACGAGGATAAACGCGGCCATTTTTCAACATTTGCGAGAAGAGACATTTGTTGACTGCAAACAATTGATTTGGACTGCTTTTCTGACCTTTGAGACGGCAAAGCAGATAACTAACCTACAGTTCCTTCTCACTCGCCCCACATCACCTGCCAAGTGTCACATTCTATAATAAAAAAAAAAAAAAAAAAAGAAAATGGCCCGCCCTTTGGAGAATGCCGCCATTAAGCTGACCGATAAGAATAAATTTACTTTTCATATTTTTATAGAAAATAATAACAGAATATATTTTAATAAAAATATCTACATGCTTATGTAAAACTTAATCACAATATATTAATAAATAACGTTTGTTTAATGTCTGAATTATGCTTGTTTCCTCATTAGTTAGTAAGTTAGCACTTACGTTACATTTTGCCATTGCCACAGATTAGTGGATCATTTCGTTTTGATTACGATCAAAAATGAAAGAAAAAAGATATATCAAGACTGTGTATGCGTGTGTAAGAGATCCAGAGAGAGAGAGAGAGAGAGATTAACAGATAAAAAGAAGGAAAAGTGAAACAATTAGGGGAAAAATGAAAAGTGAGACGAAAGAAAGAAAGAAAGTTTAAAGAAACAGATAAGAAAGAAAAGGAAAAAATGAGTTGATAAAAGAAAGAAAGTTTAAAGAAACAGATAAGGAAAGAAAAGAAAAAAGAAAGAAAGAAAAAAGAAAGAAACAAGCATAAAGAAATATAGGAGCTTAAAGAAACAAGCAAATGGAGAAGGCTAAGAAAGAAAGAAAGAAAGAAAGAAAGAAAGAAAAAGAAAGAAAGAAAGAAAGAAAGAACATGGGGCTGGAAAGAAACAAGCATATGGGAGAAAGGCTAAGAAAAAGAAAGAAAAAAGAAAGAAAAATGAAAGAAAGAAAGAAATGTAGGAGCTTAAAAAGAAACAAGCATATATGGAGAAGGTGGAAAGAAAAGAAAGAAAAAAGAAAGAAAGAAAGAAAGAAAGAAAGAAAGCTTAAAAAGAAAAGAAAGAAAAAAAAAGAAAGAAAGAAAGAAAGAAATGTAGGAGCTTAAAAGAAACAAGCATATATGGAGAAGGAGGAAAAGAAAGAAAGAAAGAAAAAAAAGAAAAGAACAATAGGAAATAAACAAATAAAAAGCTAAGAAAGGACAACAGAAATAAGAAAAAGAAAAGGAAAAGGAGCTTAAAGAAAAAATAAAGAAAGGAAAGAAAGAAAAAGTCAAATAAAAGGGTCAGATAATCTGGAAGGAAAAGGGAGAAAAAAAGAAAGAAAGGGAAAGTCCAAGGGTCGATAACGCTCGCGCGTGTTTAATGTCTACTTCAGTAAAATTGCAAACCTTATTGAATTTTCAATCATTTCGTTGGAACCCATTAACTTCTTTAAATAATGACCTCCATCCATACTTATGATTTCTATATTTTGTTAAAGTTTTTCAGTTCAAATATTTAATGATGTAATAGTAGAAATTCTACGGGTATTTTATAGTCGTGGACACGCGATAAACATTTAGTCAATAAATTAAAAATGAAAATCAGAAAATTGAATTAGGAAAACCTTGAAATTTTCGTGGATACTTCTAATTTTAAAATAATATTTAAATTTTTAATATTTAAAATCTAATGGCAATATAGTGATAATATATTTATTTGCTATTTAACTTTAAGTAACATTGTTTAATTAAATAATATATCACGTTTCATAAATTGTTTTTTTTTCTCGCTCTTTCCACCTATAGTAGATTGCACACTAACACGATTTAGCGCCAAAAAGCTTGAATTTTATTGGCCATATTTATTTTCTTCTGGTTGTGTGTAACAGCAGGAGCAATTCCCTGATCTCCGCTGATCCGCGCTCCTGGTCTCATGACAAGGGTCCGAAGATGTCGCTTTTTATTAGGGAAATATTCCATGCTAATTTTATCAGTCTATTTTTATGCGGTGTCTTAGGGCGACTTGGAAGAGGGTGTCACACCCCAGCATCAGGATTAGAAAGGTGTATACACAAAGTTTAAACGAGGCTTTCCTATTTCATTGGGTGTGTTCACTCTTGCTAAACACCAATCTATAATTTATCGTCACTAAAAGAAAAAAAATTGCTGCTGTTCGAGAAGGCATGAAAGACTGGAATAATATCTAGGGGTTGACAGAAAAGTGAAAAAATTATGGCATATCAAAGAACTCGGGACTGTCCGAAAAAGCTTTGGAAAGAGAGTGGAAGGTTTCTAAAACTAATGAAGATATATATATATATATATATATATATATATATATATATATATATATATATATATATATATATATATATATAGGTAACTATACTCGTTTCTGAGAAACCTTCGAATTTTGATTTGGCAATAATCAAATCAATCCCGAGGGGAAAAAAAAAAGGTTTTAAAAAACGAAAGAGCTAGAAACATGAAAGTCTGTTGAAAAAAATCGCGCAGATACAGGTTTAAAGCCCAATGAAAAAACCCCGACACGAGTAAACAACTAACTAAAAGAGCACAATACAACCGTAGAGCAGACCTAGAGCTTTCCCTGACGATCCGCTTAGGTGAAACCTGAGTAGGTTTGTCTGGCTCACTCGATCTATCTATCTATCTATCTATCTATCTATCTATCTATCTATCTATCTATACTAGCAGTAGAGCCCGGCGTTTCCTGGGGATGTAACAGTAAGAGATAAATCAAGTATCGACCATCATAAAGACTGAAAAATAAAATTGACAAAGATTATTGTTTAAGGTTGACGGACCCGCATGTCTTAATTAGATTTTTTTTTATGAATTGGTCAAATCCAAACTCAAACACAAACATTGTTTTCAATTTTTATGAGTCTATCGATTGAATAGAATTTTATTATTAACAATTGTCTTGTAAATGGAATTTTTAAAGCATTCTGAATGTAAAAATAAAGAAAAAAGTGTGCAAGACAATAAGAAACACTACCTGCCAAAAAAAGTGAAGTTTTGTTGAAATCGGTTGAAAAATGTAGGAAATCCGATCCCATATATAAACGAACAAACACACACACAAACAACTTGGGTTTTATAATAAGTATAACTCTATATGAGTTGTCCCCCTTTCATTCTGTTGACAGAATCGTGTTTTCAAATTGATTTCGTGCAAAAACAATTGTGTTTTTCCAATTTTTGGCGCTGTCAGAACCACTGCAAGGTAATTTTACGTAGTCCTGTGAAGTTTTGTTGAAATCGGTTGAAAAATGTAGGAAATCCGATACAATATATAAACGTACAGACACACACACACACACACACACACAAACTGCGTTTTATAATAAGTAAGATATATATATATCCAGGGCTCAATACAGGGCGGTAGAGGTATCTTTGAAATTAAATGCTATGGACGGTGGAATTATACTTCATTTGTTCTCATTTTACCTGGATAGAACAACAAAAGTAAAATGGAAAATAATAAATAGATCAAGAACTTGTAAAACATGGGATGACCCATGCCCTTTGTGCCTATATGAAAAACTACACATTATTAAGTTTCCAAAAAACGAAAATTTATCAAATCAAAGACATGAGATAATGGTTTTTTGCCGACATCAACAAATAATCACCTTAAATAATTAGCATTTATAAAAAAAAAAAAATTAATTTTCAAAACCTATTAACAAGTTCAGTTTAAGCAATAGGTTTAAAAACACAACCCAATCGTAATCTTAAAACACCCTTTAAGAAGTCGTCCAAAAAACACTAATAAATAAACACCAAAAACTACCAGAGCTACAACATCAATAAGTTAAAGTTTTAGCATTAAAAAAATAAAAACAGAACTACAACATCAATCAGAGTTTTAGCAGGGAGTCTGATAAGATTAGCCATTTTAGCCAAACAAAAAACCCAACCCAACCTTACACGAGTCCAAAAACTTGACATACCAAAAACACACCTACTTTCATCAAAGAAGTGACTCCTTGATAAAGACAAAACAAACCCCAGACCAAACCTCCATTCAAAAGTATAAATGAGTAAAACATTCCATACCATTATTATTCGAAAACAACGCCAGAGGATGAAATTACGACCCAGTTAAGGTTTAATATTGAAATTAAACTT